GGAAGAGCATGGGTGTGGAGACTTAAATAGAAATACATTGCAAGAGGGGAAGTCTGGAAGAAGGAAATACAATGCTAGTTAAGACAGACCCAAGTTGTGCTTAGGTGCAAGATGGGAGCTAAGTTACAGTGTGCTTTGTGTCTATCCTTGGGTCACATAATGTTTTTGTTTTATGGTTAGTGAATGGTGATGCAGAAAGGCTCTTTGTAGGGAGGAAATGAGGCCCCACAAAGCCCTACGTCTGCATCCACTGTGCTAAAAGCTTAAGCAGAACAAGAATAATAGTGTTAGCATCCTAAAAAACTTTCCTTCAAAGTGGATTCAAGCAGCAGCAGATGCAAAGAGGGTAGCCCAAAAAAGAAGAGAGGTAATATCAGAGGGGTAGGAGCCATGCTTCTGCGCCCAGTCCAGCAAAGACTCTCAAAGGAGAGACACAGGATTTGGTACAGGATTGTAAGAAAAAAAATTTGGCTCCTGCTTGTACTGGGTTATCCCCAACATTCACATTTTCAAGCCTTTGCCACAGAAAACTACTTTTTGAAGAGAGCGAGTTTCTCCTGAAATCACAAAATTTCAAGACATGGTATTAATACATGAACTGGCTACTATGATTTCATGTTGAGTTTAGAAGTGGCACCTTAAAAAGTCAGATACTGCTGGCAGACCCACAGCAACAGATTCCTGGCGGAGGGGGAGAAGTCAATTTACTGGCATGTGGTACAGCAGAAGTAACATTTGGTCTTTGAAACTTCTGTACCTTAGGGCGTTGATTGCAGCAAAAAAAAGGTTTAAACTCCTAGTTACTGAAGGAGGAAGCAAAAAGCATTACTTGTCTTATGGCCAGAGAAGAGAAGGCCAAGAATTTTTTGGATGCCTGGCTGACCCACTTTTTGTAATGCAGATGACTGCTTGCTGTTCATAACCTTAACCTGTTTTGAAGGGAAGTACAGTTACCGGATTACAGTTTATGGGGTTGGGGTAACTTGGTAGAGCTCAGTGTTAACCAGGAACCTGAATCAGCAGTAAGTGCTCTGTAATAATTCAGTCCAAACTCTGCAAGGCATTAGCCGCGCAGTTATCACTGTTTGGAGATAGTGATGACAAGGAAGCGTATTTCAGTTTAAGTGGAACTGACCTTTTAGAGGGAGGTTTGCTGGTTTGAATGTTTGCCTTCGATGTGGCAAAACATGAAACACACAATGACTTTTTATGTGGTCCTGGAAACTTAACTGTGGCACATCTGTGGAGACTGGTAATGCCCTTCATCTGATCAGCTAACACAGCTGGATAAATCAATGAGTTTTAGGGCAACCAAACCTTTTATTTTGGGGTTGCACAGGTATGGTTTGTTTTTTTTCCCAGGTAAGCAAATATATTCCCCCAAGTATGTTAGCTCAGGTCTGGCCTTGGTAGGAATCAGATGGATAATACGCCTAGACCTGGGAGCTTGGAGATGCTCCTTGTGTGTCTGCTGTCATAATGCAGCTTTTATGTCTCTTGCCTCTGCAGGTGAGCTGCACCTTCCATGCTGTACTATGGCGTGCACACAAAGGACACGGCTATAGGTGAAAGGAGGATGATTGTGAGAAAAGCTACTGGAGAATTCCAGGTATCTTACCTTTTATGGGGTGGTGCAGTGGTGGAAAAGAGCTTTTCTTCCAGCCTTCCTCTGCCCTTTGCTATTTGAAGTACCACCAGCAAACCTTACTGGTCTGAAAGGAGGGATGAGCTGCCAGTTGCAGTTTCTCATCTCATGGGTTTGAAGAGCTGTCTCTCAGATTGGCTTGCCTGAAGCCTGAAAATGCTCATTCCTGGGGTAACCACAAGAGGCTTTTCCAGAGCAAAGGCCACTAAAACACTGTCTGCAGGGCTTGAGGGGAACTTCAGAACAGGAATCCAGTACAGCCTGATCTTCCATCTGTTTTAGTAACAGTCTCTAGAGCTGGGAATTAAAATGCATGCAAATAATAGATTTAAATATACTGATATTCTTTCTTGCTTTCAGCTTTGAGAACAAGGGGCTAGTTCATTTTGAGGAAGTGAACTCAAAACACTTAAGTATGCAGACTGCAAACTTTGGCTTAATCATTTCTACGAAACAACATAACAATCTTTGTATAATTCAACAGTGAGAAAATCAACCTTGTTCGTGTCTCCTTAGCATCCCTTCTGCCCTGGGCACTTCCTGAATTCAGCTGTTATTCTGTTTTCACGTACTAAATTCACTTCTAGCTATTGTGAAAGAAGGAAGTGAGTAGGCAGAATTGCTCCCCTGTGGTGTGACAGTGGGAAAGGACTGAAAAGACATGAACTTGCTAGTTCTGCTGTTTATGAAGGCAGACTTTTTTTCTTCATGTTATGTATTAAGTTTTTAAGATGGTAAGTAAGTCAGCAGATACATATTAGCTTCAATAACATGAAATTGTACAGCTTAAGACTCTGGCCCTGAGGCTGTCAACACTCTGAAAACTCACATTGTGACAGAGCTGCAATAGTCAGAAAATGTATTTCCTTTTCCCCATGTGTGACTCTCAGTAGTTTGATCTTTGCTAAATGTCAAGTGTGGGGTTTAATTCTGCGTTTCCTGGCTTGCGTGTACCTCCCACTTTAACTTCAGACATGGCTGCTGGCGTAGTTTTATCATGTGCTAACATTAACACCTTGATAAAAAGAAGGAGCATAGTACGCACTACAGACTCGCCCTAAATACTGTAGGCAAATATAATCTTTTTGCTGATAATGCAGTCCATAAGGAATAAAGGTAAAAACTGTAGATTACAATGGCAGGGGGACCAGGGGAGTGCACTGCTCTATCAGGGTGCAGGACCTTTCCCTTTTGATAAGGGAAGGGAGGGAAATGAAGGTAAGTTCAAAGATTTGGTTGTCCACCTAATATGACAAATAGAAACTGGTAAGCTGGAGATGTTTGTTAATAAGTACTATGGCTTCCTTGTCAGTTCTGTTTGCTGGAGCTCCTTGCTTTTCCAGGAGCCAGCAATACCTACCAAGTTCCCCACTACCAGAGCTTTTCTGATGGCAGAGACTTGGGATGATCCAGCAAGGTGGAATCACAGAGATGGCTGGTTTCTGGATGCTGTAATATTGCATGTGCTCCCATAGCTAAATAAGGCAGATCCGCTGATGTTTTGCATTCCGCAGCTCAGCTCCAGCCCCATTCCCTGCAAGAAAATGAAGCACTGGACTGCTGCCTTCCAGCTCATAAAAAAAGGAGCCATCCCACTTCTCAGAGGATGGTTAGTTCTTGGGGATAGAGAGTGAATAGCAAGAGGTAGCCTGGCACTAGAGCTGGGTTTAGTTACAGCCTAGGAGGTAGCTAGGCTTGCATCTCTACTTGCACAGTGACCCCAAAAGCGCAGACCTGGCTCGAGGGAGGCTGTAAGTGTAAGGCAGAGTTGCGGCTGCTGTGCCTGAAAAGCAGACTGAAAGGCTGTCCCCCTGGGAACCTTCCCCAGCTTGAGCCAGCTCACCTGGGAGCAAAACAAAACCCTCTTGGCAACCATGGAACTTCAAATTTATTTTCTTCCTTTTAATGATTTCCTTCTAAGCACATCAGTTTGCCATCACTGCTTTGCAGTCCAAAGGCTCTCGGAAAAAACTATCAACTCCTTCCCAGCCTCACTGGCAGTGTATGTGCCAAGAAGCGCAGCCAGCTCTCCCCTAGCAGCACTTCTCGGCAGGCCGGCCGGCAGCTTTCCTCCCCAACTGCCTGCCCGGACAATAAAAGGGGCTGCTCCCTGACCTTCGCCGGCAGCGGTGTCTGGGGATGTCTGGCTGTGCCACGCACGCTCTGTCAGGTGGCACTGCAATATATTCTCTTTGCTGGGTAAGCATCCGGCATGTGGTCAGGGGCACTCGCTGCTGCGAGTTAGACCCACTAACACCACTGTTAGAGAGTCAGGATATCTGTGTCGCTCCCCCGTGACTGCTGCTGGGGTCCTTGTCACCATGCCTGTCGTGGCTGTCACAGCATGCAGCAATCGTGCCATGTGCCAAAGTGATGTGTATGCCCCAAATTCAGTGGGGTTCGTATCCTATTTTCCAGCAGGGTTTGCAAAGCTTCCACCGTGCTGCCTGTTAAACTTGGTGCCACGTGGGAGAGCGTGGACACCCTTGGTGTGCAGCAGCTGATGACTCGCCTGCTGTTTTCTTCACCCCCAATGAATTATTGTAGATGAGCCCTGTAAGCCCTAGGAGAAAGATTCACAGCGTACCCATCTGCTGACAGCCCAAGTGAGAATTGTGGGGGTTTTTTTGCCTGGGCCCTGCTATGTTGTTTCTATCCCGCGGACCCAGCACAGCCCTGCGCTCACCACTCCTCAGGGCTTTTCCAGGATGCGCTTTGGGTTGGGGCTTGTACAGCAGCGGCGTAAAACGACCAACTCCTGGGTGGGACAAAACAAAAGCTCGTGTGCGAGGTGTGGGATGGTGCCACTGGCAGCCCCGCTGCTGCCTCTCCTCACCCAGGTGAGGGGCAATGGTACCAAAACCTCTCCCCTCTGAACCCAGAGAATTAAAACCCAGTTAAATGTGTTTTGAGGAAAACCTGACTGCAAACAGCTTTGACACCCCCCCGCACACCCACCCATCCACCCATTTCTCCGTATGTATCTTTCTCCTCTTTTCTCTTTCTCCCCACACACAGCCCCTC